CCAGCCCCACACCTGGTGCTCCTTGGCCTCATGGACACCTCTCAGAGAGCCCTGTGCTCCAAGCGAGGGACAGGTACCCAGCCTTGCCCACCGCCCAGGAGCCCCCCAGGGTGGGGACGGGGCAAGTACCGGCCAGAAGAGAGCAGTGCCGGGCGCTCAGCAGGAGAGGCGGCAGGCGGGCCTCAGGGTGGAAGGGTGGTCGGTAGCCCTGAGCTGGTCTAGGAAGATACAGCGAGGGGGACGGCACCCTCACCTCACAGTCCCACCAGAGCCGTAACATCTCCTTTCTTATTGCTTTTGTGGACCAGCCTACTGCACTGCTTTACCTAAATGTTCTGATTTTCCGGATGGAGAAGCCCTAAGGGGTGCAGATCTGTGTCCTGTGTGTGTGTGTTTATAGTTGATTCTCATGTTGGTCCCCACCTCTGGACCTTTCTGGTCCCATTGTATTCAGCACTGGGCCTGAGCCCAGGCTGTGCTGGTCACAGGAGCCCCATCTCTCTGGTCACTGCGCTTGTGTGAGGACCCGGGGAGGCGGGGCAGTGAGTCAGCCGGGGGCTGGGAGAGCTGCAGAAAGAGAACTCGTCTCACAGACCCTGCCGGGCACCATTCTGCCCCCGTGGGCGCCAGACTACCCAGGAGGTAAGCGACAGACAGGACGCAGAGGGGCAGGGACGGGTCCTATGGCTTCTTCTGCTTAAGCCAGTTGGAGTTGGATTTCTGTCACTTGCCACCAAGAGTCCTGACTCATAAGGGACAAAGCTGGTTGGAACTGCAATGATCACACACACGGACAAGCTGCACGATCTGCAGTGTGACCCATCCGAGTGCCTGGCAGGGCAGGACACCAGGGGGCTGTCCAGTCAAGAGGGAGACAAACTCCCAGGGTCTGCTCGGCAGCACCGCCCAGCGGAGACGGGGCTGGCAGGCGAGTGTTCCCCGGGAAAGGCGGGCGCACGCCGCAGTCTCAGCTCCAGGGCTCCCGGTGCTCCGACCTCGGGCAACCCTCTCAGCAGCCCTCTGGCTCCCCTGGGCCCAGATGCTGTTAGTGAACGGGAGGGCTCTATGCCCCTGAGGTCTCACCTCTTGGGGGCACCCTTGAGTAGCTGGCCAGCCTCCCTGACTGGCTCCCCCTCCTCTGACAACAGGACAGGTTTGGGACTTGAGTCATGCAGTGGCCAGACTCTTCGTGGGGAGGGATGAGTCATGCAGTGGCCAGACTCTTCGTGGGGAGGGAGGGAGCAGGTTCTTACTGGCTGAGGTGCAGGCCCATTTCCTGGAGGGCTTGTTCTTGCTCGTCACAGCTCCTAAAACGAACAAACCAGACACTGGAGCGCTCGCAGCTCCTAAAACGAACAAACCAGACACCTGACACAGAATTGAAAGTCCTTTTTATAAGGTTCAGTAATCATAGCAACAAGCAGGTCAGAATGTTTTTCAAGAGTAAAAGGCAGCCGGGCTGGCGTGGCTCAGTGGCTGAGTTCTGAGCCATGAACCAGGAGGTCACGGTTGGATTCCGGTCAGGGCACATGCCCGGGTTGCAGGCTCGATCCCCCGTAGGGGGCTTGCAGGAGGCAGCTGATCGATGATTCTCTCATCATTGATGTTTTTCTCTCTCCCTCCCCTCTCTGAAATCAATAAAAATATATTTTAAAAAGAGTAAAAGGCAGTCCTCTTGCGTTAACCTCATTCAAGACAGGGTGATTTCGTGGGTTACTTCTCACTAGCCTGCTTCTCCAGAACGGGTGAGTGCAGGGGAGTAGCTCTGCAGCGGACGGTGACATGGGACAGGAAGCAGCTGCGTTCATCAGGGACATTCAAAGCAGTCACCCTTGCAGGGCAAATAAGGCTTTACCTGTCTGAGTTTCTTTTAAAATATCGATATATAATATATATACCAGAGGCCCGGTGCATGAAATTTGTGCACAGGGGTGGGGGTGGGGTCCTTCAGCCCCACCTGCACCCTCTGCAATTCGGGACCCCTACACCTTTTTCTTATCTAGCTAACCTCTTCACAATTAAAAAAATTAACTGAAATACCACCTACTCTAGGAAATCCTCTTTGAACAAATCTCTTTACAATCTGTATTAAGTATTTTCATAGTATATCATTCTTTTTCTTTAACAGCAACTTAGAGTGGATGCATGTGCTACTCATTCTTGCATCTGAATTTTTTCTTCTTGCTCTTGTAATAGCAAAGCTTATCCAACTTACATTTGCCCTTCAAGGGCTTATATTTGGTTCAGTTTCTAGTTGGCTCCCTGCTTTTTTTTAAGCAATAAATTTGGGTTGTGATAGTAAGCCTCACTTGTAATCAAGCCTGTAGGTCTCCCTATCTGAATATTTCTATAATACCTATCACTTTAGCATATCAGAGATTGTGTTCATTTATAGAAAATAACAATAAATGTCACCTGATCATTTGATCTTCTAGTAATATTTTATAGCAAGATGTATTATTCTAGTAATTTAACTATTACAAAACTGAGGCGTGCAGAAATAAATCACATTGAATAAAGAATGACTCAAATTTCAAAGCATAGTACACTTAGGGCCTCCCTTGTCCTGTGCCTCAGATATCATAGCATATTACACAGTTCACATGGAACTCAGTTTCCTTTAAAATAGGAAGGGATCCCATACTCATGAAGCAGCTACTTCCACACATATTTATTTATTTAATTCACAGCACATACTCTTTGTACTAATTGTTGGAAAATCACCCTAGCAATTGCCTCTGTTCTCTCTGTATTGTTGCCTTACATTCTGATGTCATTACTGAGCTTTTATCATCCACTCGCTCTAATAAGATTGTGAATTATTTAAGGGCAGAGATCATGACTTGAGCTTGTGTGTTCGCTGTCATGGTGCCTAGATAAATACTCAAATGCCATCCAGTCCAAATGACTGTGATGAGAGAGGCCCACCGTTGCTGGAGACCTCTGATTTTTATTGAAGGGGCTTCACTTGTTCTGCGCCTTTACAGAGGGGTGAGTAGTGGCTGAGGGACTTTGAGGAAACCCAGACAGAAGTCTCTTCCTAAAAGATTTTGCTAAGCTGGCGCCCGGGACCGCCGGGCATTTGTCCAATTAAAACCTGGACACACAGCAATAACAAAGGCACTGGTCTCCTACTGCTAATGCCTGGGGATCAAACCCCAGCCTGCAGGAACTCACCCCGCAGTCAGGACCGGGCTGATGGGTGGACCTGGGCTGGTGCTCCTAACTCTGGGGAGAGGGAGACTTCCCATGGCTGCAGGCTTCCCATCTTTGTTGGGTTAATTTGCATACTCTCCTGATTGGCTGGTGAGCCTAGCGGAGGGATGGTCAATTTACATGTTTCTATTTTATTATATAATAAAAGGGCAATATGCAAATTGACCCTAAAGGCAGAATGACTGCAAACAACTGGTCACTATGATGTGCACTGACCACCAGGGGGCAGATGCTCGATGCAGGAACTGCCCCCTGGTGGTCAGTGCGCTCCCACAGGGGGAGCCACAAGCCAGGCTCACGGCTGCGAGCCTCTCCTGCCTCCTTGGCAGCGCTAAGGATGTCCGACTGCTGGCTAAGGCCTCTCCACCTGGAGGACGTGGGCTGATGAGGGCCAAACGAAGACCCAGAAAAGTAACTTGGGGTCCAGGGCTGACCCTGGGCGCCGTGGGGCCTCAGCCTGAGTGGGGGGCACTCCCCCAGAGCCTGTTAACACAGGCTTGCGGGCAACGCCAGAAGCGTTGTTTTGTTCCTGTGAGTGTGGGGAGCGGTGGGTGTGGAATTCAAAACTTACACCAGAGTTCTGAAGTGGAGTATGGGCGTACGTTCTATGACAGCAGAGCTTTCTAGAAGTCCTCTGCCCCCTCTGTTGCTTCCCTCCCCTCTGCGAGCTGAGTGGCAGCTGAGGAACCTCTCTCCTCCTCAGTGACCCCCACCCTGGCCTGGCGGGCGCTCTCACAAGAGGCGGTAGGCACTTTCCGACAGAAATCAACAGGGCCTTTCGCGGCTCGTTTGAGTTGTGCGGCGGTACCCATCACCATGTTAAACAACAGAATCCAGGCCTGGAGGCTGCCCCAGCCCAGAACCCTCGTCCAGAGGGGAGGTGTGGGAAGGCCGCCTGTGGCTCGCAGACCCTGAGCCTGGCACCAGCCCCGCCCGGAGAAGCCAGGGATGCACCCAGGTCCCTGGATGGCAGCTCTGACCGGAATGGCCGGGCCCCCTGCTTGCTGGGGAGACATGGTAACTCACTGTGGGCGGCCCAGGGCCAGGGAGGTCCGGTCCAGCCAGATGACAGTCTGTGCTGGCCCCCCACGTCCCTGCACGGGAACTGAGGAAGGAGGCGACCCCGGGACAGACTCGGGTCTGGTCTAGGGAGGACAGAGGCCCTGGGCCAGCGGCGTCCTGGGGATGACCAGGGGCCAGGCGGGCCTTGGGAGGCAGGTCACCTCCCCGGCCGAGCGCAGGCCCTCAGAGTGATGATGTTTAACGGTTACTCTGTTTTCTCTCTTGCAAACTCACTACCCATTCTCCACACAGTAGGTGGCGATGGCCTTCAAATGAAGTGGATTAGGCCCCTCCAACAGCTTCTGATCGTGCTCAGAATAAAACCCAAATTCATAGCTATGAGGGCCCCGCTCGGCTGTTTGCTGGAGGCCTCGCCTCAGGCGCCTCCTCCCTCCACTCCTCACTCCTCAGCCGCAGCCTTCTCTCTGCTTCTTCACCACGACACACCGCACACCGCCTGGGGGTCCTAGGCTGGTCCTTCCCGTCTCCGGGCGACTGTCGCTCTGTTCCCAGACCACCCGCCACACTGGGGACCGTCTCCCACTCTAGTCTCTTCACAGCACTCACCCCGAGTCTCTGGTTGGCTCACTGGCTTTCGCTCAGCCTTGCCCTTTCCTCCGAGAGCAGAGGCTAGGAGGTGGGGGACAGTGCCTCCCAGCCGGGGCAGCAGCGCACAGCCCCCCCCACCCCCCCCCACCCCCGGGTGGCGAGGGTGTGGCAGTGCCTCAGCAGCAGCCCCCCGGATGCTGGCCGCGCTCTGCCCCAGGACAGTGCCACTCACCCTCTTCAGCCCGTCCACTTGCTGCAGCTCTGCCCGGAGGAGCGACGAGGTGTCCTTCTCACACTGCAACTCCCGTTGAAGAGCCTGCCTTTGCTCTTTTTCTGATTTCAATTCTTTCTCAAGACTTGAGCTATTTTCCCAAAACGAATGTGAGTTAGTCTCTGTGGGAGATTTTCATGGTAAATCTACAATCCAACCCAAGACACCACACAGGAGATGGAATTCACAGGAGACTGAATTCCATTTGAGCCTTAGACCCTTCAGCAAAGCATGGAAACACGGCTTCCCCCCCCCCCCCGCCCCCCGGTTGCCTGCACACCACAGCCAGGCCAGGAGCATGCAGGAGGGCGGACAGTCCTCGCACGCACACACGCAGAGGAAGGGACGGGCTCTGACACTCAGGGGCGCACAGCAGAACCCTCCACCGAGATGGATCCTAACGACGGAGGATCCTGGGGGTTGGGGTGGGGAGAGCTGTGAGGGTTAGGAGTTTGTGCCCTGTTTCCTCACTTGTGAAATGGGGTATACACACGTCTCTTCTCTCATTGGCCTTTGCACTTCTCCTCAGCACCCCTGCCCTCACCCCCATTCCAGCCCTGCAGGGTACAAAGCAGGACACTGTCTGCCGGCGGCCGTGGGGCACCCACCACTGGCCCTGCAGCTGGGAGAGCTGCTCCTGCAGTGCGCCGCTCCTGCAGCCCAGCTCCCGCTGCAGCTGGCGGCTCCGCTCCTCCGCGCCCTGCCGCGCCTTTTCGGAGTGCTGCAACCTGGACCAGAAGAACCACAGCCTTTTAAGGAAAGGATCAAAGCTCCGATTCAACGTAGCAATTTTTCATATTCTTGCTGCATAGTTTTTTCTTTCATTTTTAATGAATAGACAGTAAAACTGATTTGTGTGTGTGTCCAGTTCCATGAGCTTCAGCACGCATGTCTCCAGACTGTGTAATCACCACGGCCACCAGGAAACAGAGCAGTACCCCCCCCAAGAAAACTCTCTAGTGGGGTCCCCTGTAACCCCCTTCCCATCCCTGACCCCTGGCAACTCTGACGCCATGGCTTTGTCTTTTTGATGACATCAGAGAAATGGAATTATTATTCATATACCCCTCGGAGACTAGCTTCTTTCTCTCAGCACAGTATCTTCGAGACCGGTCCATGTTTCTGTGCCTGAGTAGTATTTCAGGGCCAGTATGGTCATCCATTCCCTCATGAGAGATATCTGGGTTGCTTCCAGTTTTGGGCAATTATGAATAGAGCTGTTATACATTTGTGTAAAGGCTTTTGTATGAACGTAAGTTTTTATTCTCTTGGGCAAATAGCCAAAAGTGGTACTTTTGGGTCATATTAAGAGTATGCTCAGTTTTATTACTATTATTTTTTAAAATAATTTTATTGATTTCAAAGAGGGAGAGGGAGATAGAAACATCAATGATGATTGGCTGCCTCCTGCACGCCCCCTACAGGGGATCGAGCCCACAACCCTGGCATGTGCTTCGAACCTGGGACCCTTTAGTGTGCAGGCCGACACTCCATCCACTGAGCCACACTGGCTGGGCTGTTCAGCTTTATTGCAAGAAACTTTTCCCAAAGTGGCTGTACCATTTTGCATTCCCACCAGCAATACACAAGGGCTCCAGTAGTTCCACAGCCTCATCGAATACTGGGCGTTGTCATTAAAAAACACCCAGCTGTGTGTACAGGCCTCTCAGCATGGGTTCAGCATGCACTTCCCTAACTGCTCCCTTGCCATCTATACACCCTCTTCGGGAAGTTCTGTCCAAGTCTTTTGTCCCTTTTAACTGGAACTGCTTGCTGAGTTTGAAAGTGTTAAATACTGGATGCAAATCTTTTGTCAGATATAGGGGAAGGCAATAGTAGGCTTACAGTTGTGAGGACATGAAACATAGTTTATTATATTTTATTAATTATTGTATTATTTTCCATATGAACAACTGTAAATCTACTTTTGCCCCACCCTGTATGTGTTTTATACATTTTCTCCCAATCTGCAACTTGTTTTTTATTATTTTTTTAAATCCTCAACCGGAGGATATTTTTCCATCGATTTTTAGAGAGAGCGAAAGAGAGATGGAAAAGACAGAGAGAAACACTGATGTGAGAGAAACACGTCGTTTGGTGCCTCCTGCATGCCCCCTGCCCAGGGCCGGGGAGGAGCCTGCAGCTGAGGTATGTGCCCTGGACCAGAATCGAACCCGGGACCCTTCGATCCACAGGCCGACGCTTTATCCAATGAGCCAAACCGGCTCGGGCTTTATTCTCTTAACCGTGTCTTTCACAGAATAAAGGTTCTAAATTATGATGAAGTACAACTTGTCAAGTTTTTCTCTCATGGATCATGCTTTTATGTCATGTCTAAAATCTCTTTGTACAACCCAAGGTCACAAAGACTTTCTAGGAATTCTAAAAGTTTTATAGTTTAAAATTTTATATTTAGACTTATGATCCATTTTGAGTTCATTTTTATATAAAGGTGTGAGATACAGATTGAGGTTATTTTTTTGCTTAGCGATGTCTAGTTGTTCCAACATCATTTACTGAAAACACAATCCTGTCTCCATGGAACTGCCTTTGCACTTTTGTAGAAAATCAGTTGCCCATATTTGTGGGTCTACTTTCAGATTCTATTCTGATCCGATACTGACCTGATGTCTAACTGTGACAGTGACATCGAGCCGGGAAAGCCCTGCTGCCCTGCGAGGACTGGAGTGAATGCAGGCCCCGGGCTAAGGGCAGCCAGCCCACCTGACTGCTCTTCCGGGAGAGACTCAGGCGCGGAGAATGCCTCGCCCATTCCAGGGAGTATCTCCAGGGGAGGGATTACCTTTCTTCCATCTGTTTCATGCTGGACATGACTTGATTGATTTTTTCTTCAAAAGATGCGATGGCTTCATCCTTTTGCTGCAAACTGCTCTCTGTATCCTACAAAAGCAAGGCCGGGGTCAGACGCCTCTCCCTCACCCCGAGTTCAGCAGGTTTGGCTGTTCACTTGGTACCATCACAGCACTTGCAAGAGCATTTCACTCACTGCTGCTCTCCCCCAGAGCCCTGGGAGTGTGACTCAAGTGTGACTTTCTGAGCCCAGGCGTTTAACCACGGCAGATGCTGTGGGACAGGGAGGGGCAAAAAAAAAGCACTGTGTTTCTGTGTGTCTACAAGAGACATTCTTAAAATAAAAGGACACAGAAAGGCTAAGGACAGAAGGAAGTCCTAATAAATTCTTAGGAAATAATACAAAAACTGTATTCTCTGACCTTAATGTAATAAAATCAGACACTAACAACAAAATAATAACTAAAAACACCTCATATCAGGAAACTATTTAGTAGTTTCATATTACTAAACATGAGCTTAAGAAAATACACAGAAGAGAAATTACGAAATACTTAGAGCTAGAAGACAGTGAAAACACTGTGCAGTGCATTACTACACTGAAGATGCCACTGAGCAAAACTGCACCCTAATCTGACCTGCACAGGAGAGAAAACGCTGCTACTTGAAACACGTCATGCCACTGACTGTAAGATGCAATCTCAATTCCAGGGATGTTAAAATGTGAAAAACATGCTTAAGAGGAAATATCTTTGTCAAAACTTGAGGGCCACAGCTAAAGCAGTACTTCTGGGTAATTTTTAACATTTTAAAAATTAAAGTTATTGGGGTAACAGTGATTAATAATATTATGTAACTTTCAGGTGTACAAGATTATAATTTAACATCTGTATCCTCTATTGCATGCTCCCCACCCAAAGTCCAGTTTCCTCTGTCACCGTATACTCAACCGCCTTTACCCTTTTCTCCCCGCATCCCCTTCCCTCTGGTAACCACCATTCTGTTGTGTGTATCTATGTTTGTTCTGTTAGTTTGTTTGAGGCAACCAACCGAGTGGGAGAAGATATTTGCAAAGGGTACCTCTGATAAGAGGCTAAGATCCAAAATATATAAAGAACTCACACAACTCAACAACAACAATCTGATTAAAAAATGGGCAAAAAAAAGGAGGCAGAGGACATGAATAGACATTTTCCCAAAGAATACACACAAATGGGCAACAGACATATGAAGAGATGCTCAACATCACTAGTCATAAGGGAAATGAAAATCAAAACCACAATGAGATACCACCTCACACCTGTTAGAATGGCTATCCTATCTAATAATAGACAAACATGGTAATTGACCGTACCTTTGCTACGCCTCCCATGGGCTAATCAGCGAGATATGCAATTAACCGCCAACAAAGATGGCGGTTAATTTGCATATGTAGGCGCCAAGCGGCGGAGCGAAGACTGAAGGCGGCTCTGGCCGGAGCAGCGAAGGCTTGAAGGCGGCTCTGGCCGGAGCGAAGGCCTGGGTCCCGGGTGCCGGAGGAAAACCGGTGCCGGCAGCCAGGGGAAGGGAAGGCCTATTGCACGAATCTTTTCATGCAACAGGCCTCTAGTCCTATATGATAAAAGCCTAATATGCAAATTGTCCCCTTGGGCGGTCGTTCGACCGGGAGACTGGGAGTTCAACTGCTCACTATGATATGCGCTGACCACCAGGGGGCAGCGCAGAACATGGTGGGCGTCAGCAATGCGGAGCTGGCAGCGGGGCAGCAGTGGAGGTGTTGCCAGCCCCGATAGGCCCCAATGAGAGTGGGACCGCGGTGGGATGGTGGAGCAGGTGAGCGGACGGCGCCAGGCCAAGGTAGGTGTGAGCGAGGGCCCAGGTACTGCCCAGGGCCCAGAGGTCAGCTGGGACCTGCCCTTCCACGCCAGAAGCTCGCACTCTGATCGCCAGCCAGGCCTAGGGACCGCACCTGTGCACAAATTTCATGCACCAGGCCTCTAGTTATTAATAAGATAAGAACTAAATATTGGAGAGGTTGTGGAGAAAAGAGAACCCTTGTACACTGTTGATGGGAATGTAAATTAGTGCAGCCACTATGAAATTGTTAACTTCAAGTAAAAACTTTTAGGAAATAAAAAAGTTAATAAAACTGATGAGTCAAGCATGTATTTCAGAAGTTAAAAATGAGCTACAGAGCAAACCCAAAGAAATAAAAAGAATATAGTACAAGTGTGGATAGCAATCAATGAAATAAGGAAAAACAACAATAAAGAATATTGAAAAAAAACAGGTTCTTTGAAAATATTATTAGAACAAACACATCTATGACAAGATTGAATAAGAAAAAAAAGAAAATGCAAATAAAAATGGTGAATGAAAGAGATTAAAAAATTTTGTAGAAGAATATTATGAACAGCTATAAGCTAAAACATTTGAAAACCTAAACAAAAATGAGATACATTTTGGGGAACAAGAGAAAAATATATCAACAGCAATCAAGGCTCAACTACAACAGGAGAGTGTACACACACATGGGGTGGGAGGCTGGGTGGCAGCAGTTCATCTGGATTGTCCAACTGTGCCACCGGACCCTGCAGAACACCTACTACATAAGGCCGGGAGATGCAGCAGCCATACCTAATACATAGACAGAAGCACAGCGAGGCTGCCAAAATGAGGAGATAAAAGAAACATGTCCCAAATTAAAGAACAAAATAAAAATCCAGAAAAGGAGATGGGCAATCTACTAGATGCAGAATTCAAAACACTGGTTATAAGAATGCTTAATGAACTTAGGGGAAGAGTAGATGATTTTATGAGAAATTGAACAAAGATAGGAGGCACAAAAACAGAACTAGAAAACAAAAAAGAACCAGTCAGAAATGAAGAATACATTATCTAAAATGAAGGCTACATTATAGGGAATCAACAGTAGAACAGATGAAGCCGAGGATTAAATCAGATACTTGGAATATAAGGAAGCAGAAAACACCCAATCAGAACAATAAAAAGAAAAAAGAATTTAAAAAATGAGGATAGTGTAAGGAGCCTTGGACACAACTTCAAGTATATCAATAATCACATCATGGGGGTCCCAGAAGAGAGAAAGCAAGGAATTGAAAGCTGTGTAAAAAAAATAATGGTGGTAAACTTCCCAAACCTGGTTGCCTAGCCAGTGTGGCTCAGCTGGTTCAGCACTGTCCCTTGCACCCAGAGGTCACCAGTTTCTGGTGAGGGCCCATGCCTGGGGTGAGGGCTCAATCCCTACTAGGGGGTGTGCAGGAGGCAGCGATTGATGTTTCTCTCTCCCTTTCCTTCCTCTCTTTCTAAAATCAATAAAAACATTTTAAACAGTTAAAAAACAAAACAAAACACTTTCCTAACCTGGTGAAGGAAATAGATATATAAGTCTAGGAAGTGCAGAGAGTCCTAAACATGATGGACCCAACTAGGCCCACACAAAGACACATCATGATTAAAATGCCAAAGGTTAGAGATAAAGAAAGAATTTTAAAAGCAGCAAGAAAAAAACAGTCAGTTACCTACAAGGGAGTACCCATACAACTGTCAGCTGATTTCTCAACAGAAACTATGCAGCCCAGAAGGGAGTGGCAAGAAATATTCAAAGTGATGAAAAGCAAGGACCTACAACCAAGATTACTCAACCCAACAAAGCTATCATTCAGAATTGAAGGACAGATAAAGAGCTTTCCAGCCCAAGAAAAGCCAAAGGGGTTTATCACCAGCAAACTAGTATTACATAAAATTTTAAAGGGTCATCTTTAAGAAGAAGAAAAAAGATAAAAAAAATGAACAATAAAATGGCAATAAATACATATCTATTAACAATTGAATCTAGCCCTGGCTGGGTAGCTCAGTTGGTTAGAACGTTGTCCTGATATGCCAAGGTTGCAGGTTTGATCCCTGGTCAGGTCACATACAAGAATCAATCAGTGAATACATAAATAAGTGGTACAATAATCGATGTTTCTTTTTCCTTCTCTCTCTCCCTCTCTCTCTCCCCCTTTCCTCTGTCTCTAAAATTATTAATAAAAATATATATAATTTTAAAAAATTGAATCTAAAAAACAAACAAGTAAGCAGAACAGAAAAAAGTAAAAAAAATCATGTACTCAAAATAATTAAACATATCTTAGAATGAAAAAAAAACGAAGTAAACATTTAGAATGTTAGCATAGAGGAAAGAGGATGGGAGTCGGGGAGGGGGCTATAAAAGGAACGAAGACCATCAGAGAGGTGTCTGATTACAGTGTGTCCCAAATGGAGGGATACGGTGGACTCTGGTACTTGCAGCCAGAGGGTAAGGGTAGAAGTGGAAACAGGCCACCAGAGGATGTGGGCCCGGTGCTGCAGCACTGACCCAGAAGGCAGGGCCTCGGCACTGTCCAACCGGCGTCACAGCTGGAAAGCTGGTGACCCTTGTTAGTTATGGAAAACAGTTACAACTGCCACGTGCCCAAGCTTGGAACGCGACTCCCTGCCAGCCATGCGGTGGCTGCGGGGACGTGGTCTAAAGAGCAGGGATGCTGGGGTGTGGCAGGTCTGAAGAGGCACTGTAAGCAGGGAGTTTGCAGAGAGAGGGTAGAAGCAGAGGGGCCAAATGTTGGGGCCTCGCGGTTAGAAAAGCAGCTGCTCTGACCTTGACCTAAGTGAGAGAAGATGGAAGACTAGGCGCAGAGGTCCTGGGGCGCTCTGCAGGAAAGGTCAGGTTAGGGGGTGTCTTTACAGCTCAATCAGCTGTTTCAGGCGACTGGCCACTAATGAGAAAGAGAGAGAGCGAACAAAGAAACGAAGCAGCCACAAGAACGTGTTTAATAAATAAAACAACACACTGGCCACTGCCACGGGCTGAGTGGAAATAAACAGATCCGAGGCCATGACTGAGGGCACTGCACTATCAGCGACATGAGTCAGACCTGAACAGTCTCTGTAACTGATCCCCAGGACAACCTCCAGGCCGGCACACTGAGACCACGCAGCTGGCCAGGAGAGCTGTGTCGTCGCCAGGGAGGCCATGTTCCCCAAGAGCCACAGACGGTGGACTTCCCGGGAGCCACGGAGGGAGCTGACAAATTCTTCAGAAGGCAGAAGCGGGGAGCAGACATGCTAGAGATGGTGCCCCCTGCCCCTGGGCATCCTTTGCAATTCCCACTGCCACCAGCCACTTCCCGTTTCCCCTTTCCACAGGCATTCCTCTTGGCTATCTGCTCTGCCATGGATGCTGGGAGGGACGGTTAATGAGAAAGACAGCGGGTCTTCTGGTGCAGGCACACAGCTCGATGGAGGGCTGCCACCGCCCGGGGCTGCGGACTTGAGGATGCGAGGACCGGATGGCCTGTGTGGCAGGAACAACTATGTCTGCCAAACATGTATCCTCTACTTTCTATGACGTGCAGCTAAGGACAGTCGCAGGCGCTCCTGCCGCTGAGTGGCCATGCTGAGCTGCCCTTCTCCATGGACTCGATGGAAGGATGGCTGCCGCTTATGCCTCCAGCTCGAGAGAAGAACCCCAGTGCTGACCTGCTTTTCTCCCCACCTTCCACCGGCAAGAATGGTGACATCCAGAGCGGCCCCGAGAGCTGGAGCCACCGTTAGCCTGGTCCCTGAGTGACTGCGGACAAAGCGGGTCTGAAATGCTCTCCTTGGAAATGACTCTGAGTAACTAAGATACAAACTTCCGTATTTTCAAGCCACTCCACTTTAGGGGCTGCCAAATTTTTACAGTAGTTTAGTTTCCTCTAAAATACATGTCACATTATGTCTACATACTCATTCAAACCAGATAAAAACACAAAACATTAAAACAGATAATTTGTTAGGAAGGTGAAATTGTTTTTTTTCTTTTCTCTTTTTGCTTTGATTTTCTCTATTGCTGTTATGAAGATGAGGTGATCGTTTTAAAAAGACAGGACAAAATAACAGTTTATTTGTACTGTCTGCTCTCACACTGTCTTTGACAGTGAAGCTGAAACCACGTCCACGGACAAGGAGGTGGAGTGGGATTGTTGTGGTAATAAAACAGGAAACAGAACTTCAAAACGCAAAGTTTTGAGAAGGACACAGAATGGTGGCTTCCAGACCCTGGCCCGATGGATTCTTTGTGGGCTGGCCCCCTTCGCCACTCTGAAACGACAGGCGAGGTGAGCAGCAGACTGCTCACGGTGTGGCCCGAAGACTTGGCAAACCTTGAAAAGACAATACCAACTTCTATCCTCAAACCACTTCTCAAGCAATGGCCCTCTGAAGCGGAGAACGGGCAGCAGGGAGACAGTGAGGGGCCACAGGCACAGCTGTGCCACAGGGGCACGTGGTTACCCACTCGGTTCTGTCTTGTCACTGACGCTTTCCCCATTTCGTAAACTTTTCTAGGGGTTTGCTGGGAGACTCAAGTAAAACAAATACCGTGGCATGTAACAGGGCCTAGGACACTGGGACCTCACGGAGGTGCGAATTCTCTCCCTCTGCAGGACGGACGCGAGAGGACGGAGAGGCAGCGCACCTCAGCCCCCGCTGCAGCAGCAGCAGGAAACCAGGCGGGGATGGGGACACAGCCAGCTCCCACCTGAACTTTGTGGAACATTTGCAAATTGATCGCTTTGACTTCTTCCAGCTGCTGGCGGAGGGCGACGAGTGTGTCCTGCTTCTCATGGGTGTCCTTTTCTAGTAACTTCATTGCAATTTCCATTTCCGTTTTCATCCCGATTTGTAATTCCAGTTCTTTTTCTAGTTCCTTAAAAGGATAGGAACAAGGGAAATGTTACTAAAGTAGAACAAAGAAATAAATTTAACTGAGGCTGTCATGGGCAATATGTAAAATACTAGAGGCCCAATGCACGAAATTTGTGCAAGAGCAGGCCTTCTTTCCCCTGGCTGCTGGCACCGGCTTCCCTCCAGCACCCGGGACCCGGGCTTCCCTTGCAACCCCGGCTTCGTCCAGAAGGACGTCCGGTCTAATGAGCATATTATACTTTTATTATTATAGATAAGCTGAAAGCCAGAATAGGTTAGGGAGATTTTTGAAAAGTCTGTCTAGAGCAATGGTTCTCAACCTGTGGGTCGCAACCCTTTTGGGGGTCGAACAACCCTTTCACAGGGGTCACCTAAGACCATCAGGAAACACACATATAATTACATATTGTTTTTGTGATTAATCACTATGCTTTAATTATGTTCAATTTGTAACAATGAAAATACATCCTGCATATCAGATATTTACATTACAATTCATAACAGTAGCAACATTACAGTTATGAAGTAGTAACGAAAATAATTTTAGAGTGACTGAGCCGCCGCCGAGGACTCAGCAACCTCCCCCTTGAGCCCCCCTCGCTTCCCGACGCTCCGTCCCCCCTGCCCGCCTTCTCCCGCCGCAGCCTTCCGCAGGCCGTTTCCACCGAGGAAAAGGAATCGTATCGTATGTCCGCTATCCAGAACCTCCACTCTTTCGACCCCTTTGCTGATGCAAGTAAGGGTGATGACCTGCTTCCCGCTGGCACTGAGGATTATATCCATATAAGAATCCAACAGAGAAACGGCAGGAAGACCCTTACTACTGTCCAAGGGATCGCTGATGATTACGATAAAAAGAAACTAGTGAAGGCCTTCAAGAAGAAATTTGCCTGCAATGGTACTGTAATTGAGCATCCAGAATATGGAGAAGTAATTCAGCTGCAGGGTGACCAGCGCAAGAACATATGCCAGTTCCTTGTCGAGATTGGACTGGCTAAGGACGACCAGCTGAAGGTTCATGGGTTTTAAGTGCTTTTGGCTCACAGAAGCTTAAGTGAGGATTTCTTTGCAATGAGTAGAATTTCCCTCCTGTCCCTTGTCACAAGTTTAAAAACCTCACAGCTTGTATAATGTAACCATTTGGGGTCTGCTTTTAACTTGGACTAGTGTAACTCCTTCATGCAATAAACTGAAAAGAGCCATAAAAAAAAAAAAAAAAAAAAAAAAAAAAAAAAAAAAAAAAAAAAGAAAATAATTTTATGGTTGGGGGTCACCACAACATGAGGAACTGTATTAAAGGGTCGCGGCATTAGGAAGGTTGAGAACCACTGGTCTAGAATATAACTAGATTATGTTTTCCCCCTTTTCTTATTTTACAATGAAAAATGGTTTGTATCAAGTCAATGGATAGCTGGTAGGTGGCAATATGAGTCTGGAGTTCCTGCAACCATGTTCTTCAAATTGCAAGATCAGAATATATGGTCTGAAAGAACGTGTCTTGTATTTTAGTGCTAAAGCAATTTGATGTTGCAATGTTAGAACTTCTGGAATGATTTACTGGTTTATGGCAACAAAGGTGAAACCATTTTGAAATGGTTCTGTCCTGGGTAACTCAGGACACATGTTCTTCACATCCATGCAAAGAAGCAGGTGCAAGAACTGTATTTAATAAAAAACACAAGCCCTGACCGGGTGGCTCAGTAGGTTAGAGCATCGTCTTGATATGCCAAGATTGCAGGTTCGATCCCTGGTCAGGGGACATATAAGGATCAACCAATGACAGCATAAATAAGTGGAACAGCCAATCAATGTCTCTCTCTCTCTGAAAAAATCAATCAATAAAAAAAATAACCTTACGTAATAATAGACAAACATGTAAATAGACCGTCCCTCCACTATGCTCACCAGCCAATCAGGAGAGTATGCAAATTAACCCAACAACGATGGCGGTTAATTTGCATACGTAGGCGTAAAGCGGCGGAGCGAAGACTGAAGGCTCCGGCTGGAGCGGAGGCCTGGGTCCCGGGTGCCAGAGGAAAACCGGTGCCCGCAGCCAGGGGAAGGGAAGGCCTATTGCACGAATCTCTTTGTGCATCGGGCCTCTAGTAACAAATAAAAAACACAGGCCACTGACTCACAGATGGGGTGGAAATAAACAGACCAAGGCTCTGACTGAGGGAAGTGTATGGTCAGAGACCACACATCCAATTTCACAGCAATCCCTGAAAAAGGTTTGTAAAGTTGGAAAAATGTGACAGTGCAGACCTGAGTGGTAAACATGACCTTTTATTCTTTTTTAAGGGACGACTGTGGGCTGTCTGTGGGTGCCCGAGGGGTCAGCATGCCTGTGGGAAGTGCTAGGAAATCACTGGCACAGCTTTTGGGGAACCTTTCTGAAGACGCCAGGCTCGCACACTCACCAAATGGGCTTTCTTCTCCTCCTTCAGCTGCTTCCACACGTCACTGTACATTTTGTCCAGACCCTGCCGAGTCTGCTTGTAAGTCTCCAGCTCAACTTTTGTGTCCTGTTTTGTTATCTGTATCCACCAAGAGTACCGAGAGAATAGGTTTTATGGGAAGCAAGCCAACTACAAAGTATTTAAAAATACACCATAATTTTAAAAAATGTAGAACAATTTCTATTTCTTAAGTATAATAAAGAAAGGTTAAAATTTTAAAGCTATTTTGAAGTATCTTTAAACTTGAGTATGAGAACAAGTCAAAACATTAAAAAAAAATTTTTTTTTAAATATATTTTTACCAGAGGCCCGGTGCATGAAATTTGTGGGGGGCGGTCCCTCAGCTCGGCTTGCACCCTCTCCAATCTGGGACCCCTCGGGGGATGTCCAACTGTCTCTCGCAATCTGGGACCACTGACTCCTAACCGCTTGCCTGCCTGATCACCCCTAATCCCTCTGCCTGCCTGCCTGATCGCCCCTAACCACCTCTGCCTGCCTGCCTGATCACCCCTAACTGTTCCCCTGCTGGCCTGATTGCCCCTAACTGCCTCTGCTTCACCCCACACCCGGGACCCAGGATTCCCTCCTCTGGCCGGTTGTAGGCACCCAGGACCCAGGCCGGCTTCACTTGGGCTGGCCGCAGCCGCAGGGGACTGTGGGCGGGAGGTTTCACCTGGGCTGCAGCTGCAGGCGCCTGGGACCACGGGGTAGGTGGCTTGTCCCTCTCCCTGGCCGCAGCCTGGCTGGTCCCCAATCCTCTCTCCCAAGTGTTGAGTGTCTGAGTGTGACAGCCTGAAGGCGTGATGACCATTTGCATATTGGCTCTTTATTATATAGGATTGATTTCAGAGAGGAAGGGAGAGGGAGAGAGATAGAAACATCAATGATGAGAGAGAATCATTGATCGGCTGCCTCCTGCATGCCCCACTCTGAGGATCGAGCCTGCAACCAGGCATGTGCCCTTGACTGGAATCAAACCTGGGACCGTTCAGTCTGCAGGCCGATGCTCTATCTACTGAGACAAACCAGCTAGGGCAAGTCAATACATTTTAAAAAAAGCAAATTTAGGTTCAGAAAACAAATTTACTTTTTTTTTTGTTTTGTTAATCCTCATCAGAGGATATGTTTCCATTGATTATTTTTTTTAGAGAGAGTAGGAGAGGGAAAGACAGAGAGAAACATCCGTGTGAGAGAAACACATCGATTGGTTGCCTCCTGCATGTGCCCCAACTAGGGCCAGGGCCAGGGAAGAGCTTGCAACCAAGGTACATGCCCTTGACTAAAATCGAACCTGAGACCCTTTGGTCTGCAGGCAATGCTCTATCCACTGGGCCACACCAGCTAGGGCGAAATTTACTTTTCTTTAAAACAGAACAATCATTCCTAGTGGGGAAGGCCCCATTCAACTCACCATTCTGTGTTTATTGAGCATGTTTTTAGCACTGGATGAATTTTGAGAAGAATCAGATATGATCTCTACCTTCAAATTATCAAGTGAGCAAGCCAGCAATTCTACCAAACAACAGATTCTACAGAGGAGGGAGGCGCAAAGGGCTGTGGGGACACGGAGGAGGGCCCAAGCCCCCTGATGGGTGCTGCGGACGGCACGAGGGATGGCATCACAGGGACCCAGTTCAGGGGTGGAAGCTGAAGAGGAGTGAATAGGAACTTTCGTGTACAAAAGGCCCAGAGGGAGGGAGCAGGGTGCGTGGGAAACCCAGGTGGTCCACCTGGCCTGAGCGTGACAGAGGAGGCAGTGGCAGGAGGCGCTGTCTATGAGCCCGAGATTGTGATGGACACGTCCGAGTGAGAAACATGCCAACTGCCCGGTCAGGTTCTCACCTCTACGCTCTTCTCACTTCTTTCACGAATTAATTCATTTTGTTCTCTTAATTGTTGCTGTTCTTCTTGAAGTGAAAAAATCCGGTCTGTTGCAGCTGAAAGCTGATTAAGAAAGATTTTTATATTTCTTAACATCAAAATGAATCTTACTGTTCAAATTAAAGTCTAACATTTGGCATCTTCACAACCGACAATTTATTTTCACATATCAGATATTTTATCGATCTATCTATTTATCTATTTTTGGATAATCTTCAACTGAGGATATTTCTTCCACTGACTTTCAGAGAGAGTGGAAGGGAGGGTGAGGGGGGGAGGAAGAGGGAGAGGGAGAGGGAGAGGGAGAGGGAGAGGGAGAGGGAGAGGGAGAGGGAGAGGGAGAGAGAGAGAGAGAGAGAGAGAGAGAGAGAGAAATGGTGACGTGAGAGACACAAGCGCCCTGATTGGGGTTGGGATTGAACCTGCAACCCAGGTATGTGTCCTTGACCGGGAATCAAACCTGCTACTCTTTGGTGGGCAGGCTGATGCTCTAATCACTGCACCGCACTGGCCAGGGCTGATCGTTTATTTTTTATTTTATTTCCTTGTTTTGAATAGGTCAGTGGTTCTCAACCTGTGGGTCGCGACCCCTTTGGCGGTCGAACGACCCTTTCACAGGGGTCGCCTAAGACCATCCTGCATATCAGATATTTACATTACGATTCATAACAGTAGCAACATTACAGTTATGAAGTAGCAACGAAAATAATTTTATGGTTGGGTCACAACATGAGGAACTGTATTTAAAGGGCCAGAAGGTTGACAACCACTGGAATAGGTAATACATTCACATGGTACAAAATTTCAAAGATATAAAAATATGTATGATAAAAATCTCTCCCACTCCTGCCTCTAGCCATCTCTGCCCTCTCCCAATTTTCTTGTTTTATAAAGTGATAGCATACTGCATAATGGGGCCAAAGATTTATGGATACAAGACATTAGAAATAGCTTGAACATTAAAGAAATAGTTTAATAAATTAAAATGGAAGCATATAGTAGAAATATGTCATGACTGAAAAGTTTACAAAAGCTGTTAATAATTTGAGAACATACTTATAAAACCAACATGAAAATAAAATAAGTTATACAGTATTTTCTAACCACTTAATTAAAAAAATCTACTGTGTTAAAAATACTTAAAAATATATATATATACCACATGATAAAAATAGCTGTCACTTAGCCAAGGGATTAAACTTTTTTTCCTAATTCTTTGTTCTTTTCAGTTTCTCTAGCCAATGAGAGGGGGAATTAAAGCACTCGGGGGCAGGCATCACCACCACACCTGAGGAAGACATCTTCCTCGCCTTGAACGACTTGGAGTTTAGAGGTACACCCACGGAGCCCCCCTTATCCAAGGTGTGAACACAGCCTGGAGGGAGGAGGTGAGGCTGGAGGAGAAAGGAGCCAGGCGTCTGCCCTTGGTCCTGGCTGTGCTCTTAGCATCATTAACTACTGGGGGCCTGGAGGCACTGAGCTCTTCATCTCTTCGCCAAGAGCGTCTAAGTTCACTCGGACTCGGAATCCAGAGCTGGGGTTTGTAAACACAACAGCTGCGCCCACAGGAGAAACTTTAAGGCTCTGAAGGAGGTGCCAGCTGCTAGAAGGGAGGACACGGGCAAAAGCCAAGAGCTGATGCCCGTTCCGCTCTCTGAAGATGCAGAGAGCACACCGTGAAGAGAGGTACGCTCTCCTAAAGGGCATTTTCTAATACAATTGTTTGCCTTTGGGAAAAACACACCCAGTCATTGAGTTTCAGAAGGTAAATCAGAGCCTCCTGCCCAGCAGGCCCTCGTCTGGTGGAACGACCGGATCTGCGGCTGTGCTATCGGCGACCGTCTCCGGTGCCCCCACAGGCCGCGGCCGCAGGAGGCACATTCGCCGCTATTAATCCAACGTGCTCTTTACCACAGCTGCGGTGTGGATCACCACCCAGTGTGGCGATGAGCACTCACACACCTGCCCCTCAGCGGAGGCCCAAAGGCCCACCACCCAGGGGGAAGGCGAGCCTGTTCCAGGCGCCGGTCTCTCCTGCGAGGCCTGCTGTGAGGGCCGCCTTGGCTCTCCCCGCACAGACCGGCTGCTCCCCTGAACGGGTTTCAGGCTGCCCCTCGGGAGAGCAGGCCCGTCTCCACGGAGCCGGCACTGGCACCTCCGCGCTAAGGCGTGCCTGCGACTCTCATTTTGGCTGTAACTTGCCTCCACCGTGTGGGGTCCGCGCGCTGGGCTCCCTCACAGCCCTCCTCCTCCTCCTCAGGGAGACCTGGTGGGGACGTGGGAGCAGCCGGGACCGCCCCCTGTGGGAGCCTCAGAAAGGCTGAGCCACCCCCTCCTGCTAACAGGAGACAGATGTGTCCACCCGGAGCCGGCCAGGCAGTTGGCAGCCGGCTGGCTCCCTCGGTCACCCCTCCTTCCTCCTGTCCTTTCATCCTCTCTCTTCCTAGCGAGAAAGCAGGGAAAGACCACACTGTGGGAAGATGGTCCCATGCTTCTGAGGCCGACACACAGGAGTGGGCGGGCTGCGGTCTATCTCGGGAGAGTCCGTGCCGGCTGGGCAGCAGGGAGATGAACCGCATCCCAGGAAACGTGCGAGAGGAGGAGAGCCGCTCACAGGAGCTGAGCTTTTCCAGGACGAGTCCTGTGAGGACTGGCTCACGGGAGCCGTCAGGGCAGAGCACATTCTGAGGATGTGAAATCTGAGAATGCCTGTCCCACGTGCAGCTCAACCCAGGTCAGCAATTCAGTGCCACCAGCAAGCAGCTCTGGTCGGGGGCACGGACTACACCATTTCCTTAACCTCAGGCCGTTCTGCTGTAAGAATTTCAGTAAGTTACCAACCTCTTCTTGAAGCTTTGAGTTAGTCTTTTCCAAGCCATCTATCTTGGTTTGAAGATCCCCAACTGTGCAGCTATGGGAAACACAGTATCAAGAAAATGTGAACTTACAAGGCTGGCTGCCTTTTCAACCATGAACAACGAGAACAGCGATGCCTACGTTTCCTGCAGGAAGTGGAGTCAAAGGGCCTCCAATGAATTCGGGTGACAATTCTAGGTACATGTGTGTGTGTGTGCTGTACACTTGTTAAAAAGTGTTCCATGTTTTCTTCCCAATACAATAAATGGGAACTAAATGCATGGGCAGTCATATATCTAATGTAATATTCGTAACAAGACACTGGTACTTTGGGTAGTAGGATCAAAGGTCATTTATAATAAATATTGTAATAAAAAATACATATTTTTATTGATTTCAGGCAGGAAGGGGGAGAGAAACATCTATGATGAAAAAGAATAATTGATCGGCTGCCTCCAGAACGCCCCCTACTGGGGATCAAGCCCACAACCCAGGCAAGTGCCCTGACTGGAACTGAACTGTGATCTCCTGGTTCATAGACTGACGTTCAACCACTGAACCACGCTGGCCGGGCAAATCTTGTAATACTTCGCCCCATTTTTCAAATATTCTTTAAGTACTATGTACTACTTTTCTACTGAAAAACATGTAAAGAGCTAAAGAAGACCTGATAGACAATACTAGTAACAACCACAGAAATCACAGTACATAGTTTCTTTCTGTTTGGACAATGTGCCAGGCCTGTTTGCTATAAGCACTTTAAATGCATATAATCCTCCCACAATTGTGTGAGGTAGATTTTATTAACCTATTTTACAGACAAGAAAACCATAGCTTTATAAAGACTTACTCAAGTTCATACCCCCATGAAGGGGCGCTGCGCCTGAAGCCAGGCTGTCCGGCCTCAGAGCCTGCACTTGTAGACAACGGGCCCTACTCCAACCTGCTGCTTGTGCCTGTGGGGGACGAGCCACACTCCCACAAAGCTAGAGAACCAGGGCTCAGGAACTGGGAGGGAGCTTCTCAGCAACAGGGAAGCGGGGAGATCCCGCCAGGCTGAGGATGGCGGACCTGACTGTCCTCCGGCCCTTTGACCCTCCCCTGGAATCCCCCAATGAAAGGGTTTGATTCACCCCCACCCCAAAAAGAACTGGGTGGAAGAAAAATAAAAATACAAGGACACAAAATGAAAAAGGGAACAAAGCAAATGATATAAAGGGAACTAAAAGTTTAAGAGTCGACAACTGTCAATTCTATACCAATTATATAGCTTGGAAAATATTAATAACATTTACATTTTTCTTAGGAAATATAAATTACCCAAACAGACAGATCCTCCAGAGAAGAAAACCTAGATGAACTACCATCTAAGGGAAAACTGATACAGTGGCACAGTGCTGTCTGCGTCCAGGCTCTGAGCTTCCAGCATCCGAGAGCAAGTAACGCTCATAGAAGGCGTTCAGTTCCCAGGCACAGAGCCAACGAAGAGCTTCCGGTTTGCTTCGTGAAGCTGCATAACCTCACTAACTCGCTAGAGCAGTGGTCGCCAACCTTTCGGACCTCAGGGACCGCCAGCAGTCTGTGGACCACCGGTAGGTGACGGCTGCGCTAGAGGGCAAGAGCTGTAGGACAGTTAGGTCAAGTTCCCTGGTAAGAGAACAATTAAATTTTAAAGCCAGGATCAAGAAGAGTTTATTTCTATGATCTGGGAATTGCTCAGTATGAAGAAATCTATGAATCAAATAGATCACATCAACAGATTAAGGGAGAAAAGTCACAATTATCTTATTGGATGCCAAAAATTCAACACCCATTCCTTATAAACTCTCAATAAACTAGGAAATGATCAAGAATTTCTTTCAAAGTAACAGCCAGCATCACACTTCAGGCGAGCTCAGAGCAGCACTTCCCCAGGTCCGTCCTGAGGGATGCGGCAGCTCCTTCGCTGTCTCACCTGCCTCTGGGCCGGAGGCCGCCCCTGCGAGGTGAGACTGCGCACGCTCTGAAGGGGGTTCAGACCTCGGGGAAGCTCCACCTCTCCCATCAATACCTCCAGCGACTGCTGTTTCATGAGATACGGCAGCAGCAGCTTTCCAATTAAAATGAAAAATCAAGATAAAGATGCTGGCAGTGGCTACTGAATGCTCTCGAAGATCTCGCCCAGTGGTTTTCAATCCTTTTCCTCCTGCTCCCAAACCTGGAGGGATGTGTGCTGGTTCCCAGCAGCAACGATACTCCCAGGGCAGCGATTTTCAACTAAGTGGCTGTGGGGAGGGGTGGAGACTCAAGGTTTTACTTATTGGCTCTCTAAATTGTGTAACTGGCCCTGGCTGGTTTGGCTCAGTGGATAGAGCATCGGCCTGAGGACTGAAAGGTCCCAGGTTCGATTCCGGCCAAGGGCATGTACCTTGGTTGCGGGCACATCCCCAGTGGGGTGTGTGCAGGAGGCAGCTGATCGATGTTTCTCTCTCATCGATGTTTCTAACTCTCTATCCCTCTCCCTTCCTCTCTGTGGAAAATCAATAAAATATATTTTTAAAAAAATTGTGTAACTGCACAAAACGAAGAACTGAAGAAGCCCCAAAAGCTCTTTATCAAGACATCATACTGCTCGTCTGTCCCTGTGAGCACGGCACGATAACCTTTCTTCCTGGTGTGGAAAGAAAGTGGGTTAGAAATACACGGCAACTCAAAAAAGTTCCAGGAAGCCATTACCGGGCACCGAGAACGAACTGTAACCCTGGAGAAGGGGTGAGTCTTACCTTAAGTGCCGGTTCAGTTCTTCCACATAGTTTTTCTGATCAAGGACATCAGTAATTCTTTCATGCCTTTTAAAAGAGCACAGAAAGAAATTCTTTTTACTAAGGATTGACACTGTGTAACTGTCCCTCAACCTTCGAATCACCTGGTAGGGGTAACAATGTTACCAGGAAACCAAGAGAGAGAGCTTAGTACTGTCTACATGGCCCTGAGGGAACAGAGAGCAAGGCCGTGGGGGAGACAGCAGCTGGGCCTTGGGAGACATGGAAACAGGCCTGGAGAGCAGGCTCCTGCAGCCCCCCCGCCCCCGCCGCAACTGGCTGGGTATTTGGGAGGATGGAAGCCATGAGCATGCAAGGTGGAAACACCAATAGCCACATGCAAATGGCTCCCACGGTGGCAGATGAAGACACCTTGCTATACTGAAGGAAGGAGGCTGGCTTAGAAAAGAAGACCACGCGACTTTGAAACACAAAGCTGATGGGTCTGCATTTAAAAAAAAAAAAAAAGACTTTCCCTGGCCAGCATGGCTCAGGTTGAGCACTGACCTATGAACCAGGAGGTCACAGTTCGATTCCCGGTCAAGGGCACATGCCTGGGTTGCGGGCTCCATCCCCAGTAGAGGGCGTGCAGGAGGCAGCCAATCAATAATTCTCTCTCATCATTGATATTTCTATCTCCTTCTCCCTCTCCCTGCCTCTCTGAAATCAATAAAAGTATATTTTAAAAAATACTTTAGTATTTTAAAGTTAGCCCCTCACATTCCTTTACATTCACACATACATATGCACACAAGCAGGATCCTTCTACACGGGCTCATTCCACAGGTACTGGGGTTTGTTTTCCAATGCGGTCACTTTTTTCCTTTCACCCGTTCTTCACTTTACATAACTCTCCCCGGTAACCCTAACCCTGTGGAATATACACTATGTGCATATAATCATCTATCGATCGAGTGTGTGCACGCGTGTGTGTATACTATGCAATTAAAATATAAAATATGGACTAGGGATTTTAAAAAATGGTATTCATATACTTCTCAGTATCATACTTTTCTCACTTAATAATACCTTGTGGAAATCTCTCTAAGTCAGTGGTTCTCAACCTGTGGGTCGCGACCCCTTTGGGGGTCAAATGACCCTTTCACAGGGGTCGCCTAAGACCATCAGAAAACACATATATAATTACATATTGTTTTGTAATTAATCACTATACTTTAATTATCTTCCATTTGTAACAATGAAATTGGGGGTCACCACAATATGAGGAACTGTATTAAAGGGTCACGGCATTAGGAAGGTTGAGAACCACTGCAGTCTAAGTCAACTATACTAGTAGCTCATTTTTTTAGGTCTTCATGGAATATTATGGATGTTCTATAATTCATTCATTCAAATTATTCCCTTACTGATGGATAACCTCTTTATTTACAGCTTTTTAAAATATAAAGAATATATTTTAAGTGTAAAGTAGGTGAATCCTTGTACTTAGGGTGCATTAAGCATTAATGGGGTTCCCTCTGGCCCCTTTCTTGGTAAGGTGTGCGGCCAAGGTGCTGAGACTAGGGGGAGGGAGGTGTCTTTGTTGGAGAGAAGATTGAATGACAGGTAACAGACGCACATAGTACAACAGTCAAACACGACCCAAGGGTTTACAGTGTATCTCCCTCCTGTCCTCTTCCCTCCAGCAGCATGGCTACCAAGTCTCCGTGCCGCTCTAGAAACAGTCCATGGGTACGGAGTACAACATATATAGTGTTTTCTTTTTTATCATAACATAAACGGTATCAGGTTTTACATGTTGTTTGTTTTCTTCTCCTTTTTTTAAAAAATATATTAGAGTCCCGGTGCACAAATTCGTGCACGGGTGGGGCCCCTCGGCCTGGCCAGCGATCGGGAGGTTGGCTGGCCCGGAAGAGAAACCGCAGGAGGTTGGCCGGCTGCAGGGGGTTGACTGTGGGTGTGCACCGACCACCGGGGGCAGCTCCTGCATTGAGCGTCCGCCCCCTGGTGGTCAGTGCGTTATCATAGCGACCGGTCAACCAGTCGTTCGGTCAACCAGTCGTTCGGTCAACCTTCGTAATGGTCGCTTAGGCTTTTACATATACAGATATTTTTATTGAATTCAGAGGAAGGGAGAGGGAGAGAGAGATAGAAACATCTATGATGAGAGAGACTTATTGATCGGCTGCCTCCTGCACGGTCCCCACTGAAGATGGAGCCTGAAACCCAGGCATGTGCTCTGACTGGAATTGAACCCTGACTTCTTGGTTCATAGGTCAACGTTCAAACACTGAGCCAAACCAGCTGAGTGTCCAGGATAACTTTTTAAAATAATTTTTTAAGTATTTTTATTGATTTTTAGAGAGAGAAAGAAAGAGGAAGGAAGAGGGATATATAGAGAGAAACATCAATGAGAGAAAAATATCATCAATCGGCTGCTTCCTGCACAAAACTTACTGGGGTTCAAGCCCGAAACCCAGGCGTCTGCCCTGACCGGAAATCAAACCAGTGACCTCTTGGTTCATGGGTTGATGCTCAACCACTGAGCCACACCAGCTGGGCCTGGATAACTTTTTTTAGAAGAATGCTTTTTTTAACAAGGATGAGGGAGAGTTCCACATGGCATGAAAGACATCAAAGATAACATTAGGATCAAAGAACAGTTCCATGGGCAACTTCCATATATAATAGTACCATCCCATTTACATTCAAACAAACTGCATAGCAAAATGCATGACCAATGGCCCTGGCCAGGTAGCTCAGTTGGTTAAAGTGATATCCTGATACGTCAAGGTTGCAGGTTCAAGCCCTGATCAGAGCACATACAAGAATCATCCAATGAAAGCATAAATAAACGGAACAACAAATCCATGATTCTCTCTATCCCCCTTCCTCTCCCTCAAATCAATTAAAAAAACAAACAAAGCACCAGCCAGTGTGGTTCAGTGGGCCTCATCCCTGCACTGAAAGGTTGCTGGTTCGAGTCCCAGTCAGGGCACATGCCCAGGTTGCGGGCTCAATCCCTGGTAGGGAGTGTGTAGGAGACAGCCAATTGATGCTTGCTTTCTCTCTCTTTCCCTCTCCTTTCCTCTCTCTCTAAAAATCAATAAAAAATCTTTATAAAAGCAGCCCTGGCTGGTTTTGCTCAGTGGATAGAGTGTCGGTTCAGTCTTCGGGTTCGAATCCTGGTCAATGGCACATACCTTCGTTATAGGTTCAATTGCCGGCCCCAGCTGGGACACAGTGGGAGGCAACCAATCACTGTGTCTCTCTCACATCCATGTTTCTCTTTCTTCCCTTCTCCCCTCCCTTCCTCTCTCTCTAAAAATCAATGGAAAAGATATCCTCACTCCTCGGTGAGTATTAAAAAAAGTCATGACTAACAAAGATGTATGTGTGGGGCATTAATAAAAGGCTTGACAGGAGACATATGCAGACTCCTCCCAGGGAGGAGCGGGCGTGGCAGGGGAGGGAGACAAGGGGCAGCAGGAAGGAGAAATCCCACTTGTCCTCTGCATTCTGTAGCGCACAGCTCCTCAAACAAAGGGAACATTAACGTATCACCTCTGTAATTCAAAACAGACAAAGAAGAACTAGAATTCCAAACAAAGCTAAGACAAATGTAGCCTTCTTGCTGGGATTTCATTAATAATGTGAACAACAGCATACAATCCAGTACTTACTCTTTGCCACCATCAAGATCCTGCATATCCTTAAGGTAGAGGGAAAAATCGATCACTCCAACCTGTTCAAAATAAAACACACACGTTTAAGTAAAAAATCACCTTCTCACTTTCCACACAAACCTTACACTCTTTAGAATTCCGGTATTTACTTCCCTGTCTCTTTCCTACAAATACTTAGGTTAAGCAGCTCTATAAAATAGCAATCAATCAAACAAACAAGTCAAGAAAAAATTACCCCACCACACCCTTGTAGAAGAAAAACTTACTAAAAATCAGAATTTAAAGGAATATTCTGAAATGTTACCACCCAGTTAAGATTAGTTTTATGTATTTATTCAATAATCAAGTTGTTGACAAAAGATCAACCAAGTTCTTTGGGTACCAAGTAATAAAAAAGGGAGAGACCTAGGCTTTAGACAAAAACGGTGACCTTCACTAAGACTCTGATCCCTCGCTCCGGGACTGTGGGGAAATGGCCCATCGGTATTCCAGGAAAATTCTCTGCTGCTGCGGGCACCTAGAGAGGATGAAGACCCCTCACACGTCTCAAGGTCAAGGTTTTGCCCAGAAATAAAGCACCTGAGAGAGAGTGAGTGAGGGTCCTTGTCTGCCATCGTCCACTGCAGTATATGTGGAACTATTCCTATTTGAAATATAAGAATATTGGGTCCACTGATAGAGAAATGTTTAAAGTCATTTTATAGCCATATCACAGAACCCTAGGCAACCATACCAAAGAATGCAGCAGATGGAAATGTATTTACACAAAGGAAGTTCCAGGATAAAATTTTAAGTCAAAGAATAACATGTACAGCATCAAACTCCTTATCGTATTTCCACTTGTGTTAAAGCCACAGCTATGCAGGATGGTTTTTGCAACTTCTCTGTAGCACCTCCCACTAATCCACATTCCTGACCCTGGATCCTGGGCAGCCTTCGTGCCGGTCTTGATGAGTTAGAAAGCAGCAGAAATAGGCCCTGGCCAGGTGGCTCAGTTGGTTAGAGCACTGTCCTGCAGACCAAAATGCGGCAGGTTTGATTCCCGGTCAGGGCACATACCCAGACTGCAGGTTTGACCCCTGGTCAGGGCACGTACACAAGGCAGAAGAGGAACATGGGTTAAAAGAAAATGATGTGCTTGAGCAAGCAGCAGGTTACCGAGGGCAATACCAGCTTCTTCCCAGCACTTTCTCTCGGGGCACAGACCTTTGAATTCTGGGCTGCTGTGAAAGTCTGGCCAAGCTGAAGCCATCATGCTGCACACCAAACGGGAAGACCACCTGGGGACAGAGAGGCCAAGAAGCCCTGCTGTCCCAGGCCAGCGCGTGGCGCCGCCTCGGCCTCTCCCAGCCAGCGAGAGCAAGCCTTCGTGCTGCCTGCCCAGCACCGAAGGAGGAAGGGCCTTGCTGAGCCCAAACTCCCAGCTGTGAGATACAGTGGTGTTATTGTTCATGTGCCTGTTGACTTGTTACACAGAAAGAGAAAACCAGAAGAGACTGAATTTGAACCAAAACCTACGTATACAGAAGTGCATTAAAAAAGTAGAAAGTTCAAGAAAGACACCCCTTCCTCCCCGGCCAACTTTTACCGTTAACTGTGGGATGAGAGTGGGAGAGGGGAGGGGAGAAGTTCAGTTTGAATTTCACGTTTCATGCTTTTGTATTAATTAATGTTTTTTTTTCAAGAAGCATGTACTTTTGAAATAAAAAAAATAACTGAAAAATATATATTCAAATGAAAAAACCAACAGAAAGAATGAGAGAGAATATCCAAAGTAGAAATGAATGGATAAGAAAGCAAATAAAATCCTCCTCCCAAAGCAGAATTAATACAAACAATAGCTGCTTCTTCGAGTTCAACAAAGACTAACCTGTACCAAGTATGATCAGTATTCGGCAAGTGCACGATATTACATGTGAGGAAGGTGAGATTTTATGATGCTGTAAGAGAATATGCTCATATAATAATTGATCTGAATGAAACAAATGACTTATGGAAAAATGTAAATGACTAAAAAATAGTTCTAAGACTTAAGAAACCGATACATTAACCAAAGGCCAAGAAAAACTTAATGTGATAAAAGAACTAGGACCAACAAAGGTATTAGAAGTAGTCATACCAGCAAGCCTTCAGAGAAAAATAATTCCTGCTCTAATAAACTTCTGTAGAAAACAAGAAAAAGGATACTATCCAGCTTATTTTATGAGGTTAATACAATCCTTATACTGGAAAGTGACAAAGACAGTATAGGAAGGAAAATTCAGAACAGTGTCACTAAGACCTGGAAACACAAAAATTCCAAATAAACCAGAGGCATTAAATCTAGAAACACACTCAGAGAATAATGCATGGAGACGTATTTTAGGAAAGCAGGCATAATATCACACAGGAAACCAGTGAATTAATTCAATTATATTTATGAATTAAAAGCAAATATGACATTTCAATGGATGCCAAAAACAGTATTTGATTAGCATTTAATGTTCACTTTTCATAAAAACACAAAGTAAATTAGAATAAAACAATACTTTCTAAACATGAGATGGAGGACTCCTCAGACATCAACAGCAAACACTCACACTTTATGGTGACAGATGAGAGGCATGTGTTAAACAGAGCAGAGGCTCAATCACATCTATTATTTAATACAATTCCCAATCTTTATTTTGGAATTTGACAAAATGATGTTCAAGTTGAGCTGGCAGAATGGACAGCCTGAACTATATTGAAAAAAGTATAACAAAGTGGGCAAGAGGTGAACTACCAGAGTATAAAACAAACTGTGCAGGCCCTGGCTGGTGTGCTCAATGGTTAGAGCATTGGCCTGTGCACTGGAGGGTTATGGGTTCAATTCCCAGTCAAGGGCATGAACCTCAGATGCAGGTTCACTCCCTGCCCCAGACTGGGGCACGTGCAGGAGGCAACCAGTCAATGTATCTCTCTCACATTGATGTTTCTCTCTCCCCTCCTCCATCCCTTCCTTCTACTCTCTCTGAAAAGCAATGGGAAAAATATCCTCAGGTGAGGATTAAAATAAAAACCAAAAGCAAAACAACAACAACAACACATATGGCCCTAGAAATTAAAAGACTGTGCTACTGGCGTAGGAATAAAGAGATCCAGAGACTAACAGAGTCCAGAAGTAAACTTCAGTGTATTTTTTTTTTAATAATTTTTTTAAATATATTTTATTGATTTTTTACAGAGAGGAAGGGAGAGAGATAGAGAGTTAGAAACATCGATGAGAGAGAAACATCGACCAGCTGCCTCCTGCACATCTCCCACTGGGGATGTGCCCGCAACCCAGGTACATGCCCTTGACCGGAATCAAACCTGGGACCTTTCAGTCCGCAGGCCGACGCTCTATCCACTGAGCCAAACCGGTTTCGGCAACTTCAGTGTATTTTAGATATTTCACACATGATAAAGATAGATTTTCTTTATTTTATTTTTTTCAGGATACAGAGTTTATTCAAAATCCAGTACAGACTGGCCAAACTGCCTTCAACAACATGAACAGAAAGCCTGGGGAAAAGGCAAAGTTGTTATAAAATCACTGGAATTCAGTTCTTTCCACATTACAAGTCATCAGGCGGGCAGTGGAATGTGCCATCTTCCCTCCACATTAACAGTACTGAGCCTGTAAGAGCTGGTGTCAAAATATACATCCAGAGGAACCAAGATGGCGGCATAGGTAAACACTGGAGTTTGCTGCCTCGAACAACCACTTCAAAAATACAACTAAAAGATGGAAAGGACATCATCCAGAACCACAGGAAGACTGGCTGAGTGGAAGGAAAGAGAAAAGCATACCGAGACTCAGAGGAGGCGCAGTGCAGAAGTAAAATACTAAGGTGCGGAGTGCATGCGGAGCAGGCTGGCGGCTGAGGGCACGGTTGTCGTTTTCAATCGGGAGGGAGTCTTAGGCTCTGAGCTCCAGTTCCGGGCGAGTCTCTAGGGACCCAGACTCATACGGGAGAAGCGGGACTGTCTGGCATCGGTCAGAACCCGAGGGCAGCTTTCTCTCCGAGGGGCTTGCAGCGATTACCGGGACATTGAGAAGCAAAGCCTCTGAGGGCAGGACTGAGAGCAGCCATAACTGCTAGCCCCACCCTGTTGATCCCATGGGACCCGCCCCACCCAAGCCCTGCAGGGAGGCTTTTGCTGGATAGCCCCAGGCAAAGGCTAGATTAGCACCTCCCTAGAGATCCAGGAGCCAGGAAGCCCAGAGGTCAGAGTGGGACCATCCAGTTTGCAGCTCCGTGGAACCATAAAAGACACACTCAGGGGGCAGACTCAGTGAGCACCAAAGCCCCATTGAAGCAAGTCTTGCCCCAGAGGGGTGTCTCCAGCACAGAAGTTCTCCCACTGCAGACACAGCTGATTCTCACAGCCAATTGGCCTGGAGGTCAATTCCTCCCAGTGATAACTACAACAATCAAGGCTTAATTACAACAAGACTGTGTACAAAGCCCACAAGGGGGTGCACCAAGAGTGTCTACCTCAGGTAATTGGGACACTTAGCACAGAAAGGCACTCTATCGACACAGCGAAGCATAGAGAATGCCGAGACAGAGAAACAGGACACGAATGGCAGAGATGGAGGAAAGCAGACTGCTGGATCTAGAGTTCAAAACCACACTTTTAAGGTCTTTAAAGAACTGTCTAGAAGCCGCCGATAAATTTAGTAAGGCCCTCGAAAAGACTGGTGAGACCGCCGATAAATGTAGTGAGATCTTCAAGAAATCTAGTGAGACCCTCGATGTTGTGATAAAGAACCAACTAGAAATTAAGCATACACTGACTGAAATAGAGAATATTATACAGACTCCCAACAGCAGACCAGAGGATCGCAAGAATCAAGTCAAAGATTTGAAATACGAAGAAGCAAAACACACCCAACCGGAAAAGCAAAATGAAAAAAGAATCCAAAAATACGAAGATAGTGTAAGGAGCCTTTGGGACAGCTTCAAGCGTACCAACATCCAAATTATAGTGGTGCCAGAAGAAGAGAGAGAGCAAGATATTGAAAACCTATTTGAAGAAATAATGACAGAAAACTTCCCCTACCTGGTGAAAGAAATAGACTTCCAAGTCCAGGAAGCCCAGAGAACCCCCAACAAAAGGAATCCAAAGAGGACCACACCAAGACACATCATAATTAAAATGCCAAGAGCAAAAGACAAAGAGAGAATCCTAAAAGCAGCAAGAGAAAGAAAGTCAGTTACCTACAAGGGAGTACCCATACGACTGTCAAGCTGATTTCTCAACAGAAACTTTGCAGGCCAGAAGGGAGTGGCAAGAAATATTCAAAGTGATGAATACCAAGAACCTACAACCTAGACTACTTTATCCAGCAAAGCTATCATTCAGAAGTGAAGGTCAGATAAAGAGCTTCACAGATAAGAAAAAGCTAAAGGAGTTCATCACCACCAAACCAGTATTATATGAAATGCTGAAAGGTATCCTTTAAGAAGAGGAAGAAGAAGATAAAGGTAAAGATACAAATTATGAACAACAAGTACACATCTATCAACAAGTGAATCTAAAAATCAAGTGAATAAATAATCTGATGAACAGTATGAACTGGTGATTGTAATAGAATCAGGGACATAGAAAGGGAATGGACTGACTATTCTTGGGGGTGGAAAGGGGTGGGGGGGGTGCGGGAAGAGACTGGACAATAATCGTGCACCTATGGATGAGGACAGTGGGTGGGGAGTGAGGGCCAAGGGTGGGGCGGGAACTGGATGGAGGGGAGTTATGGGGGACATATATGTAATAACTTAATCAATAAAGAAATTTAAAAAATTATAAATATTTGTACCCTAAAAAAATAAATAAAATAAAATAAATGTTTATACCCTTGTCTCCACCCAGACACGGAAGCTCAGGGTTCCAGGCAGAGAAGAGGGCGGGGCCAGCCAGCATGAAGGCTGGTCTGTGCAGAGGGAAGCCCCTAGCACCGGTGAATGCAGGGCTGCACAAGGTAAAGGAGACAGCCGAGACTCGAGGGCTGCTGTCCCACCGTAAGAGGCAGACAGAAGACAGAAAACTTTGGTCCAAAATTTGCAGGAAAAAAGAGACCCTGAAAGTGTGAAGAACCCTGGTCCTCATGGAATTTCAAATTAGTAGAAAAATAATATATCATACATGATATTCAGGAAATCGGTTTACCACTAGTAAAGAAATCTAGACTCATACTGCACACTATGTTAAAACAAATGACAGGGAGATTATTTAAATGTAAAAAATACACAGTTGATTTAAAAAATAATTTTTAGGTGGGGAAGGACTTTCTAAGCACAATACCTTAAAAAGTATAAAGGAAAAGTCCATTAAAATTGATTGCCCCAAAAAATTTCTACAGAGAAAATCCGCTCTGAGAATTCGGGGGGCGGGCGGGGGGGGGGGGGGCGGAAAGGATGAAAAACTCAGAGAAATGGGAAAAGGATATAAACAGGTAGTCAAAAGCCGAACCATCAATGGGAAATAAAACATGAAAAAAACACTTGACCTGGCCAGGTAACTGTTAGTGAGAACATCGTCCCCAAGATGCCGAGGTTGCGGATTCGATGCCCAGTCAGGGCGCATACAAGAATCAAACAATGAATGCATAAATAAGTGGAACAACAAGTCAATGTCTCTCTGTCTCTCTCTCTCTCTCTCTCTCTCTCTCTCTCTCTCTCTCTCTCTCCCCCCCTCAAATCAATCAATAAAAAAATAAAAAGAAAAAATACTTGACCTCCCTAGTTCTCAAAACTGTAAACTTGAGAACAGTTGCTTTGTCTATCAGATTGAAAAAGACCAAGAATGCTCATCGTGCCCTAGCCGGTTTGGCTCAGTGCGCAGAGCATCGGCCTGCAGACTCGGGCTGGGTTCAATTCCGGTCAAGGGCACATGCTTGGGTTTTGGGCCCCATCCCCAGTAGGGGGCATGCAGGAGGCAGCTGATACACGATTCATTCTCATCCCTCTCCCTCTCCTTCCTCTCGAAAATCAATAAAAATATATTTAAAAAAAGAAAAAGAAAATAGATGGATAGATTCCCAAAGGTGTAGCACTGGTTCAATATATGCCCATGATTCAATTCTTCCAGAAACATGAAAATCTTATTAAAAAAATGTTTTGCTGGTGTTCATCGTGACACCAAAATGTGCATACTTGGACAAACAATCCCCAAACTTATCCTAGGGAAATAATTGGACTAGAGTACAAAGAGGTATGAGGCTGTTTATGATATTGTTGTTAAAAAATGGAAACAACCTAAGTTAGTAAGCATTGCTTACATAAATATGGTACATCATAAAGTGGAATACAATGCAGCCACTTAAAATGCCTTACATCATCAGTGACACTGGGGGCTATGTGGGATATGTTCTTTAAAAAAATTACCATAGTGTGCTTTAAATACCATATTTTGATAAAAAACAAAACAACTCCAAACATCTCTCTCTAAAATACACACACACATACATACACACATCCTGCTTATTCGGGGACTGGAAGAATATATACCAAAATGTAACACTGAATTAGGTATCTCTGAGTAATGGGATTATGTATGATATTTAGTTTCTTTTCAAAAATACACCTGTGTATTTATTTATTTATTGTATTTTTTTGTTAATCCTCACCTGAGGGTGTTTTTCCATTAATTTTTAGAGGAGGGGAAGGGAGGGGGAGAGACCCAGAGAGAGAAACACTGATGTCAGAGATACACACTGACAGGTTGTCTCCTGCACCCACCCCGACCACGGCCAGGATCTTCACTGGAATCGAACCCAGGACCCTTCAGTCCTTGGGCCAATGCTCTATCCACTGAGCCAAACCAGCTAGGGTAAAAATATACCTCTGCATTTAAAAAAATTTGTTCAATATGCAAAAACAACAAAACTATGGGGAAAAATAAAGAGCTGACCTGGGTGTGGAGGGTTAGGGAAGCTTTAAAGCCTTCAGGTCCGAACATGTGGTGGCAGAAGGCTCTTCCTGCCCTGAAGAGGGTCAAGGGAGGGACGGGTCAGGGTGCCTGTCCTGCTCAGACACAGGAGTCTAGGCCTCAGCCCAGGTCACCTGCTCCCATCCTAAGCGGCTGCCCCACCTCTCTGTACCTTACTTACTACTTTCATTTGTGCCCCATTTTATTAACCTGACTTCCCAAACCTCTCCTGACTCTATCTCCCCACTCCTCATCCAACCTTCTGGGACTTGTAGGCTTGTCCGCTCAATGTTCTGCTGTGTCTCTTCTTGGCCACTTCTAACTCATGGCCTGGATGTGAGACTGGTTGTTCTCAAGCTCTGACCTGATCATTTCACTGGCTAAAAACCTCCAAGAGCTTCTCAAAGCTCAAAGGACCACGTGAAAGCCTTTAGCCTGGCACTGGTGGCCCAGCGTCTGAACCCAGCCTTCACCTTCACCTCCCTGTGGGCATCTGGGCTCCAGCCTTGGAGAGCTCGTCCTGCTCACAAGCATGGGTGCTTTCTGTGAGCCCCTGCCCAGCGTTCTTCACCTCCCCAGTGCTTCCCTGCCTACCCCAGCACAGCCTTCGGTCAGACACCCCTGTGCCTGTCTGAGGTCAGCACTGTCTGCAGGTCCTACATACATCCCTGGGCTAGAAGAAGTTATTTCGGTCAGGAATCCAATTCCCCGCTTTAACTGGGAAATCCAAAGCTTTCTCCTTTAAAGCAGAAGAATTGGCATCAAGGAACTTTGAGGTCCCCACCCAGCA